CTTTTTCGCCTATCTGAACCCTAGCTTCCTGGCACTAGCCGACAAACTGCCGTCGTCGTGCACCATCAGCCTGCGCATGAACCCGTTTGCATGTGATTGTCGATCGGCGACGTACATCGAGTGGCTGAAGGTGACGGATAGAGTTCGTGACGTTCGTTTCCTCAAATGTTACTCGCCGCAGCCCAGCGTTTACCTGACGCCGTTGGTTGAAGTGAACACCAGGAAACTTGTGTGCAACCTGAGCGACGCTGCTGCCGCCACCGAGAGCATAGTCACGGCAAATCTGCCTGTCATGCTGGCTGTGGTGTGTTTTTTGTTTAATCCTTAATCTTAGCATAGTTATCGCTTGGTGATGTTCTCTGTTTGCTCGCTCTGTTGTCTCTGTCGTAGTGAGTAAGGAAAGCGAAGTACAGGCCGCAGGGACAGGCTGACGTCGAAGGCGGCGGTTTTCATCGGCTAACTCTTCGCACCTGATCCTTTCCAACTGAACCGGAACTGCAGCCGGTGGCGTTGTCGCAACTGACTCGTTTTCACCGGTCACCGACTGGCCATCGTCGGCCGCGTTACATGGCCACTGCACAGCGCGAACCGCGGCGACCTAAGCTTAATAAGGCGAGGCGAGTGACGACGCTCGTGCGGGAAATTTTCTAATTAACGTGTCTTCAAAAGCATTCGGCAACAGTAACGTTTCGCTAATTGTCGCTGCTTTGAGTTAACTGCGCATTTGTGAAGTATTAAAATTTAGTGTTAATGTTGATTCGGCGACGAATCTAATAATCGACCAACGTCGACGACGACGACGACGACAATGGACGGACGAAGAATATAAGACAAGCCCAAAGCAGTTGCACGATGATGACATGCTGGCGAACACCAGCTTTATCGTCTCCCTCATCCTTCTCTCCAATTCGTCGTCATCCTCAACTTTGTCCGTCAGGTGAACGAAACGACAGCAATGATAATCGATCGATCAATATGAGTGACATATCGCGTCCACCGGTCGCCTGCTAGTTCAACTTTCACCAGTTCGGCACTAAGTCGTTCAATTCTGTTCAGTTCGTTTCCACTGATCACGCATTCGTTCATACCGCGAAGTTTTGCATCACTGACGGTTGAGACGTCACTAGAAAGAGGCATCACATCACTCACTGTCGCGCTATTCGGTCGTCGACGCTGCCAGATCCTGCTAATCGATTTATCCGTCGTGCAAAATTCCTTTCGACACGCTTGCGCTAGATTTTTCTCGAAGGCGACTACTAGAAATCCGGCACATGTAATCCAGTGGCAATTGAACAGCTGTTTAGCATCGCTAGACGATATGTCGCGCCAGTTTCCTCTCTGATAGTTTCTCTTGTAGGCTATGCTCCATTGTTCGCCGTGGTGCACTTTATCTATGTACGATGAGTGACTTACATCCACAGGACGGTTCAGACTCTTCTACTAACAAATCTGACCTGCCGAAGCTTAACTTTTGCAAGGAAAAGCTGTGTCGCCTACTGGAACGTGCGAACGTTGAACGGTGATGGCAAACTGGACAACGTCACTCGCATTGCAGCACGAAACAAGCCTACCATTTTGGCACTCTTAAATACCCACTTGCCAGGCCAAGGATATATATCAGTCTGAGTTACCATTTCTAAACGTCAGACATCATAAAGTCTGGCTTACTCTGCTATTTCAGCTCTGCTATCGTTTGATGCCATTCACACAACAATGACAACAAGTTTCTCTTAATTCTCTAC